GGGGCCAAGTCCATGAATTTCTTATGCTCGGTGTCAACCTAGACTGCGCTGCTTCACAGGGAGTGTGAAATGGAAGAGTTATATGGAAAAGATTTTCAATGACAAGATGAAAATTTTTCACTTTTCAATTCATTTCAAACAAAAGAACCCAGCGAACACACATTCTTTATCACATTGGTAGGCAGATACATTATTAACATCTTTGACATGGAATAATAGACAGCCTGAGGGCATAAAATTCTGGTTTTGTACAGATAAAAGAATAAACACCTAACTGTGCTCATGAAAACAACTGTTCAGAGACACAGCAAAAATGACCCCAATGCTTATTTGTATCTGTATATGTTCACTTCACCTTAGGATCATACGCTGCTTGATTTGAGGGTCCATTAATGCTCATGATTATTGTAACTGGAATTGGTAATCTTGAGCACAGTTAGTTACAAGGCAGCCACTACAGAATGCATGCAAAAACTACTGTAAAATCTCACAATTCTAAAAATCCACTGATATGAAGTAAAATCAGCTATTCACCTGCCCTAATGGAACACATAGTGCAAGTGTGTAGATTTTGTCCATGAGCAACATGTATGCAGAATGAATTATAGAAAATCCCACATGGCTGCCTAACTTAAGGCTACAGACTTTTCTCATAATCTTAAGATTAACAATTTTAACCCTGGGGCCTGGGATTTAGCTCAGCAGCAAAGCGCCTGCCTGGCAAGTGCAAGGTCGTGAGTTCGGTTTCCGGTACCGGAGAAAAACCAAAAAAAAAAAAAACAAACAAACAATTTTAACCCTACTATAGTATTGTTTTCACAGAAATCAACTTTTACATTAGTTTTATTTTTTGTAGATAACTTCAAAATGCCTCTGCATATATGATCAATTACTTTTGGCTTTCTTCCCTGGTCAGTTTGCCTCTCCATTGCTTCTTATACTTTAGGGATGATAAAAACAAAAATAAAGATAAAACAAAACAAAGGAAAAGTACTCCTACAGAGGACACCGGGTATCATTTCCTCCATTCTCTCATGCATATGCTGTTTCATTTCCTGTGGCAGAGAAACAGGGAAACATTGGACTGATTACAAGTCCAGTGAAATCTAATCTAATCAGGATTACAGCCTGACAGGTTGGCCCATCATTTCAGGCAGATCTCCGAGATGCAATTTTCTCCCTTATAAGGTGGTAAGATTTGGCTGTTGAGAAAATGAAATGTGACTACCCCGGACTTCAATGTTAAGGTGAAGTATAAAACAGATTTTAAACCATAAAAATAATGTAATATATTTTATTCATAATTATATATTAAATGTCCACTATTATTAAAATATTATGTGTATATTTGAGGAATGAAACATTAGTGAAATTAATTTCAGTGAAATATTTCTTATACTGCATCAAGCTTTATATTTTTATATTTGTCATTGAGGATCTAACCATAGTTACTGCCTCAATAAGAAACATACTTGTCTGTGAAACTGACCCTGGTATGCTTAGAACAAATTCTGAGGGAAAGTCCAGCAAGACTAAGGAAGTAAGGATGGTATTTTTTTTTAAAAGTGCAGTAGCCACCTCAAACTTATCTCTCAACCCTGCCACACCCTCACTTGTGGGACCCTCTAGTCAGTCACCAGAAATAGACTGAAATCTCAGTGCAATCATATTATGTAGCTAAAGTTATGCAAAAACTTCAACACTAAAAAGTAGCATGAAAAATAATCACATGGTATTTTCTTGATTTAGCTGATGATAAACTTCAGCTGATGATAAATATTTCTTGATATTTGTGCTTTATTAAGAATTTGTAATATTGTGAAGTAACTCTCCACATTTATAGATGTGAAGGCCTTTGGTTCAGTCTCTTATACCATATGTATGTTTACCATATGTATTTTTCTCTGGACTACTGCTGTATGAAAGCAAAAGATTTCTTTAAAGCGATACCTTGCACTATCCAAAAACAAACTCCTGGTGGCACTATTCCTAACTATGCATCTATATGAGAGATCAACTCTATAATTAAGATAAAAATGAAATCCTTCTGTAGTTAATTTTAGGAAAAAGCGAAGCATTTATTTATAATAATGTAATGTATAATATATGAAAAGCATGTATTCTGAAAGAAACACACTTTGATAAGTTACATCATGTTGAAAATATATTAAATTTTATTTCTTTTAGACTAAAATTATGGTTTTATTTGCTAATGTATGTATTAAATAACATGGTCATCTCATTCTTGTGTGCAGACAATTGAAAGAATTAGAAAAGAATATAAAACTCATAAAACAGGAGTAGATTTTCTTAATAGTAATTCTTTCAGATCATGAATTTTGGTTCATTAACCCCAATAAATTCTTGTTGTTTGTTAAATAAACAAAGTTATTGGAAATTTTGGATATTGACCAATATAATTAAGAGTATGTTGTTTTCATATTGAATTCCTTACTCGAGTTTTACTGTTTATGTAAATATTTAATTTACATTATTTTAAACATGATACACAATTGAAAATGACAGACTATAAATAAACATCTATCTTTAAATAAAGATCAGAATAGGAAGCAGTATTTTGCAAAGCATTTCCCAAATACACAATCTTCATTTTTAACAATGATGTTGAAATTGATTCGTTTTTTTTGTATTTAGTCTTATAATATGAAGGTCCAATGACAGAATCCAAGTGGATATGGTCCAACTAGTATTGAATAATTAGTATAAATTTTAGAGCTGATATATTCCCACCCACCTTCCTGTTCAGTGTTGAGACTGCTAACTATCACAGAATAGTTAGCATATCCTCATTTTCCTTTTCTCACATCCTCTTTTTCCTTTTCAACTGTTAATAACTGTTTGAAGAGTAACCTAGTATGCAATGCTCCTTACTGTGTGGGACATATTGGAAGATCCTGAGTCGTTGCTGGAATGTATAATATACTCTTTTTTTCTACACATGCATACCTTTAACAATATTCAATTTATAATTAGGCACAATAAGATAATAGAAATAAGAACTCAAAGTAAAATGCAATTATAATAATGACATCTATGTGAATGTCCTCTCTTTTAAAGTAGTCAAGAAAAATACTAAATATTTTCAAACTGGGTAAAATTAAAACCATGGAAAACAAGGTTATTGGTAATGTGGAGATAATTGTATCTATTTTCACATAAATATTGCAAAATTATTGAATATATATTGCATATTGTAATGTGTTGTGTGACTGGGTCTCAGTGAAATCTTTTTGACTATTGGGTTAAAATTCCAGAATGTACTGCTACCCTTTGCAGACTCAAAGCCTCCACTAATTCTAAAACTAAGAGTGCTAGAAGATAATATCTGAAATCTGTAAGAAATATGTTTAACTCTTCTGTATTCCACCTATCCAACCCCCCTCCATCAATGTGTTTATCAAATGTACTGATTTCATTACTTTCTTTTGGTCTGCGACTATATCCTCTTCCACAGAAGAACATCTCAGTGGGATAGCTTTGAATCTGTGTTCCAGTCATGGTCGCTCATATCTGACTCAGTTTAAACTATTACCTTATTTGCTCTATGGCTTTTTTGTTTGTTTGTTTTTTGAGATAGGGTCTCGCTATGCAGTTCAGGCTGGATTTGAGCTCACTTTGTAGCCCAGGCTGGTCTCTAACCTGTGACGATCTTCCTGTCTCAGCCTCCTGAGTGCTTGGATTACAAGAGTGGGCCACCATGCCTGGCTTTATTTGCTCTAAAAATGACAATAATTATTAGTTTTGTTATTATTACCTAAGTATTAGTTTTCCATATTCTTTAATCCATGCGAAAACTATGAATAAGAGAAGGTGTATCACTCACTAGCCTACAGATATGGTGCACTTAAGTAGTGAATTTAGTATCTAATTAAGAAAAGGAAATTCATAATTAAACTATGATATTAGAATAAACATATACCTAATTTTCAAAATACTTTGATAATAAAGTCTCATTTATGTTTCTTAACAGTGTTCTGTGAGGAGTGATTTTCATTTTTACATACATAAAAATGAGGGCATTTATGACCAGCACTGATTTCACCAGCGCAACAGTTTCCTTTACTTTATCACTAAAAATTTTAAGTAATGAAGTTATAGCTACATAGTTATGCCCCAAATTATGGTCAACTCATTTTTAATGCTCAAAAGCAAATACAATCAAAGTTAGCAGATAATCATGAATTATAAATAATATTGTACGTATTTGAAGAGTATAGCTTCTTTTTTTATACAGAAAAAGATTATTTCACACTATACATTAAAGTAATTGAAGAGTTAGGAGCAAGAAAGAATACTGCATCATTAACTAATGGAGCCACTTCTAATTTTATCATTTTATTTTTAGTGTTCCTTAGGACGTTTTAAACAAATAACATAACTTTGGAAAGCAAATGTCTTTCTATTATTTTGACTATAAAAATGTGAATAGGCAGTAAAATGAAGTTGCATGTGTTTCATACTATGAATATCCTTTTGTCAATTAGAATACCAAATATGGAGTATACTACTAACAGTCTTCCAAAAAAACAGTAAAAGGGCTGGGGATTTAGCTCAGCGGCACAGTGCCTGCCTGGCAAGCGCAAGGTCGTGAGTTCGATTCCCAGCACCGGAGAAAAAAACAAACAAACAAAAAAAAAAACAGTAAAAGACAGCTGTGGATTATTAGCCAAAACTCTCTGTAATTATTATGCAATTCATGAGGCAAGAAGGCGTTAGGATTTTCATACATCTAGATCCTATGGCAATATCACTGCTACAGAAAAGAATAGTACTGCCTAAGTAAGCAAGATATATATGGTATTGTATCATTTAAATGAAAACAAACAAATGAGCTGTTATGAAGAAGAAAGTAGCTGACAATCAAAGATGTACCTTGACCTAACACTTTCAAAGAAACCCTAATTGATTGACAGTTGTGCAATCTTAATGGAAATTTTTGGAATCATTATTTTCTTCATTTTTTTGCTATAGTTTGGCTATTGAATATTCCTTAAAGGTCCACATGTTAAATGATCGGCCTGCAGGATGCTTCTGTCAGGAGACGTTGGAGCCTTTATGAAGTAGTTCCTCAGGCCACTGGAGAAATGCTGACAGAGGGAGCTGTGGGCCTTTTCCCCTCTTCACTGTCTGCTTTCTTCATAAAAGTGAGGTAAGGAGTATTTTTGCCCTACACTCTTGTCCTGTTGTGCTGCCTCACAATACAACCATCAAGCATGAACTGGAATCTCCACATCAATTGGCAAAATAAACCTCATCTCTTTATAAATTGAATATCTATCAACACCCAACTGGTGTGATCCGGAACTTCGTCTAGTCATTAAGTAGAATGTGATATACTTGATTTTATATACAATTTTACAAAAAATACAGTTAAAGACTTGTTTTGAAAATTTTTTGTTCCTCATGGGGGAAAATGAGGTTGAATATTACATTTATTACCACAGCAATGTGTTCTTTTTGTAATATTTTCAGGGAACTTAATTACACTCCTTATTTTAGTGAGTCCTAACACAGGCGGTGACTGCTGATCGTTAAGCCTTCCATCATGTGTCGCTGTCTTTCTGATGTCCTCAAATGCAACCCGGTAGATTTACAAAGAGAAAGACAGAGAATAAAGAACAACACTGGACTTTCATGAGTGAGTTGAGGAGTGGTGCACATCCATTTTTTTCATAAGCCAACATCTAAATATAGGTTCACATTTTAACTGAAAAGAGAGGCTAAAATGTAAGACACTGTATGCTGTGTATTCTGGGTATAGAAGTGGAATGGGCAACTTTCAATAAAGGTTTAGCACAACATTAAATTGTTCAACTGTTTATTTTGTTTCTCTTGGCTGCAGTATGTATCTCTGTGACAATAGCATTATTTGGTTTCCTTCCTGCTCAATTTCCAATATTTCAAACAGAACTTTGCATACTATAACTACTCAACAAATAATTATTAAATGAAAAAATGCATTCATTTATTTATACTTTGCTCTAAGCTGGTCTTACACGTACACTAGAGCCAAGGAAATCTGCTAACATTCAGGGCTGGGGAATTAGCTCAGCAGCACAGTGCCCGCCTGACAAGCATGAGATTGTGAGTTCAATTCCCTGTACCAGAAAAAAACAAAAAGAAATCTGCTAACATTCAAAATATCAATCCTAAGTGGCAACTGAGGCTGTGGAAGACAACCGGCCACTGTATCTGGTCTTTACTAGGGCAGTTCGGATGTGCATTTGATTTATTTTATCCACATATTGGTATTAACCTATTCCATTTGCAAAATAGCCTAACTTCTAACTATTCAAGAGCAAAAGAATATTTAAATTCATATACAATTTTACAAAATACACATTAAACAGTTTTGTTTGGAAATTTAATTTTCTTTTCAATTACAAAATGTTTGGGCTGAATACTGCATCTAATTCATCAAAGTAATGGCTTCTTTTTGTAACATTTGCAGAGAACTTACAGCACTTTAATACTGTGAATAATTTCTACAATAATATGACAAGAAAACTAGCTTTCAACTTAGTTCTATTTTACAGAAAAAAAAACCTAAGGTTTAGAATACATTAAATAAAATCATATACTCATGAGCATCTAGGTTTTAATCTGATGCTCATTCCAATTCAGTAAGCATCAGAAGTGTTTATGAACAAAACTTATCTGTGAAGCAATTCTGTCAGCACAACTATCAGTCATCAATTTTCAGTTATCTTTTGATACTGTTGACCACAGTTTTGTAATATATTGGGGCTCCAAAAAGCTGTGTATTCAAAGCTCATATTTTTTCAAAAAATAGGATGAGGCCTTCATGGTGGGTTGCCTAGTACAAGAGAACAAGCCAGCACAGGTAATATCTTTTGCTAGAGTGAGCCTTATCACTTTGATGGATTTAGGGGAGAAGAAAGTTCATTATGTGATTATTCTCATCTGTGAACCATCCACTATTTCTTTCTATTATTTCCAAAACAATTTCTTAAAAAGATTTCTGTGTCTTTTGTTAGATTTACTGCTAGCTACATTTTGATTTTGTAATCAGCTGTGAGTGAAATTCTTTCCTCTGATTAGCATATGCATTTTTTTATGATTTTTTGCCGAATAATTTTATTAATTGTCTTATTTTCAATAGTTTGTCTATACAACTGTCTTGTTTTATATGTAGTCAATCAAAAATTTGTAAAGCTTTTTTCTTATGAATTTCACTAGCTTAAATGCTTTCCGAAAACGACACAGGCTTGAAATATTTCAGTACAATCAATTTCCATGTTCTGAATTTTAACTATGTTGCATTGTAATACAGATTAATGTGAAAAATATGTACATATTGCTCTTTTACAATTGTTTTACTTGCATATAACCAAAGAAAATTATAACTTAACCCATCTGGATTTGATTAGTTGTACTTTTTATGAAGTACCCTGTGACAAAGAACAAAGAGAAAAACAACTTGTATTTGTGTCTGCACAGAATTCTTTAGTCAAGGTAACCTGAAGCCACAGAAAACCTTGTGTGATTCTCCATGTTGTACATATTTTGCCTAAAGGTCCCCACTATGACATAAGAATGGGTTATTTTGGTCCACATGAAGATATTTTGTAGCTAGATATGCTGTAACAAAGTTTAAGAGATCACAGCTTTCAAATAATAGCCTCAATTCTTTGACTCAACTATTATAAAAATATTACACTAGTAGGGGAAAATCTAACAAGCCGAAAAAAGTCATGAAATAGAAAAGATGCTGAAGTGATCAGGTTAACTATGCATGACAGGTCTTAATTCTTCCCTAATTATTTAAATAAATATATAATGCCTTTTTCATGTTACATTGTTTGGTTTCCAGTAATCACTGGAGTTTTAATTTATCTCTGACTCCTTCACTTGGTATTTACATATTTTTTTTCCAAGGGAATATAAATGAAAGAAAAAGTGTCAGAGTGGGTTTTGACAGGCAATTCCTAAAGAGACATCATAGCTTTCACTAGTCTTGTTGCATCTGTACTTCCCACTAGAAGAACAACTCTTTGGAACTGGCATGGCTTCTTCAGCCTCAGGCCTTGAAGGAAGACAGGTGGAGCAGACTTACACTGGCCTATGGTTTAGCCTGTTTTCAAAACAAAAAAGTTAAGAAAGTAGACTTGAGTGTTCACGTTTCCTTCTGCTGTAAGTGTGGGGCAGTTATATCTGATGACTTATGTTTTTGTCATGTACAAAAGAGATATATAAGATAGCAAGGAAAAACAACTAAATAGCTGCAATTATGTGTGTTTGTGTAAAAACATACAAAAAATACTTCCTTTTCAATTACTGTGCATACTGTTAAGAATAAAATTAGAATTAGAAGATATGGTTTTTTCTTTCTTGAAGTGTGATACTCTCTCTGCTCTGTGGGCAAAAGAAAGCATGCCATTCTAGGTTTTCCTATGCACATATATTAGGCTATTTAGGAAGAAAAAACTAATGATTACAGAAGAAGATGCCTTAAATTAATATGATATATATACATATGATATACATTCTTTTAAAGGATGGTCTCAACTCTAATGTTATTATACACTGTATCTGAATGGAATGTCCTGTCAAAGGACAAAAACGCAGTGTAGTGTGTTCTGGAAAGAAGAAACTCTCTGTGTTGACAGGGAAAACTGCTACACTGTGAGGAAGAAAAAACTTTTAAACAGCCTTCTGTGAAAGGTAATATTTTTCTGCAAAAAAGACTTGGAGGACGTGGAACACTGAGGATTATATTTAGGTACTGATATTCTTGCAGGAAGAAGTACAGAAGCCAGAAAAAAACAGAAACAATCGGTACTGATATATGTGTTGCAAATATTACTTCTGGAATTATAAGTATTCAAAACCAACCTAAATTCATTTGGAAGATTTAAGTTAGTATATTCAAATATTGCTTAAAAATCTTGATTTATATAAAATATATTTCTATATAATGTGGGAAATTATAAAAAGCATATAAGTGTTTACTCACATATGATGTCCTTAAAAGTTTAATATTCAGTTCTGAATTTGCTTCTGAAAATCCACAGGCTATGATTTATATTTCTACTGCTTATTATGCACATTAGACAGGGCTTATTGTCATGCAGTCTACCAGAGAATCACCTTCTTCTTCAGATAACTAAAAATGCTTCAAAACAAACAAACAAACAAACAGAAATAGTAGTTAATTTCTTTTCAGAGTTCAGTGTGCAGTGTATAAAGCAGGTAAATATTCAAAATCATGCTTTCCAAATCACTGGTAAAAACGAAATAGTTCTTACTTATGATAACTAGGCATCATTCTGGGAAGTAAATCTCAGAACGACAGAACTGCACACCATAGTCCCCGTTTCTCTAGAGCCATTCTGGAGGATGGAGGAGTGAGGAAAGCAAGGCCACTTTTGATTTTTTGATAATTTAAATTTGGAGTTGAAATGTCCTTGTAGGAGATAATGGCAAATTCTATAGAATGACAGAGGCTCAAACCTTCCTTACCCTTGTCTCCTGTCTTTATCACATACTCAAAATTAATTACAGTTAAAGGCAGGAGAAAGGAGTGCAGCACATCATCAGGGAAATAGAGAGATGTTTGGCCCTCCCCCATAAAAGAGCAGGAATACAATTTTGCTCCAATCTGTATGTGTAAAAGACAAAGACATCATGGAATAAATTACTTTATGGATACTCAGTTAAAACATGCAATCATTGTTCTGGAATCTGACCATTCAGATTCTGGTGAGATACGTGCTTGGCAAAGTCACAAATGAATAACCTTGGCACGGAGTAGCACCCCTGACCTCCAGTACACTGGAGAATGAAACCGGAGCAGATCCAGCTCAAGGCCAGCATGGGCTGCACAGCACTCTATGACAAAATAAACAAACAAACAAGCAAGCAACAAATGAATAACTGAAAAAGCTAAAGGAAATAAGTAAGGTTATAAGTATTTTTGTAAAATATTTATTTGCTGATGATAAAATGTGTCATATGGTTTTATTAAGATTATTTTACATAATCTTATATATGTGCAAACTGTGATCGAAAGATACAGTGCATGTTCAAATTTAAACATTTTATTACATTACACACACATTATAATTAATCCTTCACCAAAGACTACAGCCCGTTTTCAATCCACTTGCCCCCTCAGTTCTTTCCACTCTGAAACAATTCAAGAACTCCTCTTTGTAGTTCCGTTTTCCTGATCATTTAGTTTGCAATCCCATATCATTTTTCACGTCCTTGAGTTGTTTTATTCATATTTTGATAGTGTTCTTTTTTTGTGCTATTTCTTTAATATAAAAAAATTTTAAAAAAGAACTCCTCTTTGTGAGTCTGTCTAGTTGTACTTTCGTGACTGCCTCTATGTCCTTAATTTACTCAAGTCATTCACCTTTCACAGACGTTTCAGTTTAGGGAAAAGCCAAAAATCACACAGTATCAGAGCTGGTAAATCAGGTGAATGAGAACATACTACAATGTGTTTGTAAGCCCACCTTTCTGTTGCACGGTATTTGGCAGCAGCATTGATATTTTTAAACATAGCTCATGGAGGTACTCAAGAAAGAACACCTGTAGAACAGCTTCAAAAAGTGGCAAGAATGGTGGGATAAGTGTATTTGCAGGGAGGCTAATATTTTGTTGAGAAATAATGTCAATGGGTGCTTTACTATAATAACTTTTGCAATATGAATATTCTCCACATAATTCCATCATACCATGTACTTAAATTTGCACCAAAACTGTCTCTAGTACAAGTCTTTATTACAAAATGTAGCTCTTTTCTTGTATTTTTTTCACCATTGTCATAAAA